TTTGTCGACTAGGTCTGTAGGACCTCGGACGGACTTTCGTGACACGGGGTCGAGGTGTACGGCTGAGGCATGAACGAGCGTTTCACATCCTATTATTTTGGACAGAATGCAGCCACTTCTTTTGTTTCTGCCAGACAGTGTTTCATGAGTCTGTTCTTGCATTGGTTACGGTCGGCTACGGTGCTTGTTTTCGTCGATGTGGATGACATGTTTTGTGCAGATTACAGGAGCCCCGACCGACCCTCCCGCGGGTGACAGACGCGGCGTGAGGCATAGGGTTCGGACGGCGTGCCGGAAGACCCCTTCTACCGGTCGACAACGGCTTCATAAGAGGGAACACCTGCTTTCAAATCCTAAATGCTTCGGGAGTCGGAGCGGCGATCGAGGCGGCATAGCTTGCAAGTGGTGCAAGAAAGCCAGAAAAGCAAGCAAGGCAACAAAAGCGAGCAAAACGTAGGCTGATATTTCGACGGCCACCCCCATCTTCTCCTCCACCCCCTCTCTGTTCAGCGCCATCGACCCAAGTTCGACTAGTCTACAAACCGCCCAACGCAGAAGTTGGAACGGAAAGAAGATTCGTATCATCTACAACCCAAATCTGCAGTGCACAAAAGAGAGATTAGCGCAAGGAATGGAAGGTCGTGCGGCTGCGTGGTGCATGCGTGGCGCGTTGTAAGCAATAGATATGGTCAGGAAATTCAGGAGGTGAGGGCGAACAAACTTCTACCCTGTCTTCTTCGTCGTCGATCATCCGATCGAGCAATTCCTGATCCACTTGGTAATCTATGGCGAATGTATCCGTAGGCCACCGTTGTCCCGGTGTAAGGCCCAACCACCGTCTGCTCGAGCTCCCGCCAACTGGAACGCTTGCCGCCACTCGGTCTGTCGCCACAAATTACGGCCGAGCGGAGAGCTTGTGTGTCGATCCGATAATGAAAGACTGAGGGAAATACCTCTTGCTCAAATGGTGCTCCGTCATCATCACTTTCCGAGGGACATTGCCCGCGGGCAACTCAAATGTCGTTGGTGACGTGAAGCGGGAGACTGAGCAAAAAAAAAAAAAAAAAGAAGAAAAAAAAGCAAATAATAAAAACAAGCAAAAACACCAATGACAGTACAAAAAAATTCCGAAAACATCTCCCTCTGATTGGGAGAATACGACCCGTATCTCACGCCTGCTGATCATCCTACCCAGTTGGGTGAAACGTCACTACTGGTGACCTGTGTACGAACCGTCAAGAAAAAGAAACCAGGAAGGAAAGGACACGAAACGAGGGAGGGGCGAAAAACTTGTAAAATTTAAAACCAAAAAATTAAAAAATTAAAAAACTAAAAGATTACAAAGAAAAGGGGTTTTCCCAAAAAATTAAGACAGACTGGCGGGAGAGGATTCAATTGTCACGCTGTAACTATGCATGTTCTGCTATTCCTTCCATTATCCGCACGGGTTGTGCTTGTAATCGGACTCCGGTTATTGCGATCTTTGAGCACTCCCTTGACCCATAACTGCTGCCCATCGCGTACTCTACGGGGCATAATAAGCACAAAACGGGCTGGCGTGACAACAGTGGTGCGTGTCGCGCCTGTGGTTCTTGTTTGGAATTTCTCGGTCCTTTTCATCCTGCGGAATCTTTTTCAGAGAACCGAGGCCCATCTTTTTCCTTTACAGCTTCGACGCTGCTCCGTCCGTCCCCCCGCTCTTACCCGCCGACTCCCGTGCCTTGGTGAATCCTCCTTCCAGCCATCCTTGCACTTCGCCCGCCTGCTATGTGTGTGTGTGTGTGTGTGTGTGTGTGAGAGAGAGAGAGAGAGAGAGAGAGAGAGAACAGCTATGTGTGTATGTGTGTGTGTGCGTGTATGTGTGTGTGTGTGTGTGTGTGAGAGAGAGAGAGAGAGAGAAAGATCAGCTATGTGTGTGTGTGTGTGTGTGTGTGTATGTTTGAGCGCGTGGTGGGTGGCGTGGGGGTGGGGCAACCCCTCCCCCACCACTCAATCAATCAATCAATCAATCAATCAATCAATCAATCAATCAATCAATCAATTAATCAATCAATCAGAAGAAAAAAAAAGAAGGGAAATCGAATGAATCTTTCGCTAGAACATGGAAATATACAATATTGCGTGTGTGTGTGCGTGTGGGCCTGTTGGGGATGGGGGGGTGACCCCGCCCCCACCAATCAATCAATCAATCAATTAATCAATCAATTAATCAATCAATTAATCAATCAATTAATCAATCAATCAATCAACGAAAAAAAAAAAGCTAAATCGAATGAATCTTCCCCTAGAACATGGAAATATACAATCCTACCTCTGTGTGTGTGTGTGTGTGTGCGCCT